AGGCAATGAATTGTTGGGACTGGGGTCTCAGGACCATAGTCTCAGGGGACACCATGGTTAACTAGATAGAGAAGTCCACAAAGACAATGTTTTACATTCTCCTTAGGTGAGTATAAGCTGGAGTCTTAAAAGCTCAAGAGTGGTCTGTCATCTAAGGTGTATGTGCAGAAGAGAGACAAGCGGTGAAACTGAAGATGCTTGGAATAAATCAGTCCAGTGGACTAATGGTATATGTGAGCATCAGTTTCCATGACTCCTGAGACCAGAATAACTATATAGTACCCGGCTACTACTACCAACTGCTTTGAAAATGATCACATTAGAAGGTCCCAGATAAACTGGGAATAAAACTTAAAATTATCAAAACATTGGGCTAAACTGTCAGAAAGAGACTGAAGGGACCCGATTATGGCCCTCAGCCACCTTTCAGGTATGGAAAGAAACCCACACTTATGGCCCAATTTTCAGCCAAGCAGTAGATAGGTATATAGGTGGGAAAACAACAGTAGTAAGGTATTGTTGTCAACCATGCATGATCAAAAGGGCAACATTTACCTAAGGACAATGTTCAGATTGGTTAAGGAGGGTGGAATGGAAATAAGAACCATAGAGAATAAGTGGGATAACTCCTGTTACATGAAGGAGATTACAATCATTGAAATGAAACAAAATATGAGTAGCTATCTTCCCTGAAGGCCTTCACTCAATTCATAATAAAAGTGTGGGAAAAAAAAAAGAAGAAAAAGAGATTGAATGGAGGGGTCCTAACAGTCCATCTGGAATAGCTTGCACACCTTGCAACACAGAGCAGGAATCCCAAGAGAAAAGGCAATTTCACATAATTCCCAGTAAAACACAAAGTAACTGTGTATACATGTTATTGTAAGGGCCTTTGAGTCAGTTCCACCTCAAAAAACCGTATCAACATCAGAACAAAACACTTCCTGGTCCTGCACCATCCTCACAATCGGTCCTATGTTTGAAATCATTGAAGCCACTGTTTTAATTCATGTCATTGAGAGTGTCTGTCTTTTTCACGGACCCTCTACTTTATCAGGAGTCTTATCCTACAGCACCATACCAGGACTCTACAATAGGACACTAAACATCACTTTCAATAAAGGACAGAATAAAAAGAAACTCAGCAAACAGAAGAATTAAAACAATCAAATTGACCTCATAACGTATATACAACACTCCACTTAACAATAGCATAGTACAAATTTTTTGTCCAGTAAATGTGAACCATTCTCCCGAACAGACATATTAGGCAACAATAAATTAAAACACACCAAAATAATACATCCGTTCATAACACTGTTAAATTAAAAATCAATAGCCGGAGGGCTCTGAGACACAGGGATTAAGTCATGATTGGAATGGGGGGGAATCCTGTTAAGATGCTGGAATGTTTTTTTATTAC